TCTGGTGGCTGATGTCTCTACTTGTTTCAGGAGATGATGCTTTTATAATAAATCACTTAAATATCACTTAAAGCCATTTTAAACATTTTGTATTTCATCACTCTCCAAACAGATTACAATCCTCATCAGATACCCTCCGGTTCCCTTATTTCTCTCTCTTTTGTTTAATGCTTTGTTATGAGTGGTTATAACTTAATTTTTCCAAGTGTCAGTAATGGAACTGAAACTCTGAAAAAATGTAATATGTAAAGCAAATATTGGCATTTTGTGGTGTATTGTGTAGGACAAACTATATTTTTATGAACATTTACTGGGCAGAGCTGATCACATCCATTCTCAGGCTTCTAAAACAGTTTAGTTTAGTATCTACAAATTTACAAGTCTGGAGAACCATTGGATATAAAAGCAGGAAGTATTCTGAAAGAAAAACAACAACTAATGTTGTTCTGATCTACAAACTATAGAAATATGTTGTTCAAGCAAATATTTTTGAAAATTAGTCTTACTGAATCCTTTATACAGCAGAATTTCACAATAGCTAAATTTGTGGGAGGACAGATGATTCTTTAAGGCAGAAAACTTTTGCTTTACAGAATATTTTACATTTGCCCATTTTGAAGAGCCAAATAGATTTCAAGGGTAGAATTTTGTCTGGTTGAATGATGTAAATGAGCCTTTGTGTTTTATGTGCTCTAACTAAATTCATGAATATATGAAGGCAAGTGGTGTCAGGTGTGAAGAATTTAGCTTACAGTTTGTTTCACAAGAACTGAATATAACTGGATATTATTTCACCTACAGGATTAGAAGCACAGATCTAATCAGTCAGGGATGGGTAGTCCAAGGGATGGGTAGTCCAAGGGATAGATAGTCCATAGACATTTCCAGAAAGCTTCAGTGTAAGGATGATGAATCCCCAGGTGTGTCTTATCAAGAATGCTGTTGCAGCAGTTGCTGTAGTATTGGAAGAATGGAGAGATGGAATTGAAATGTTGTGTCTTAATTCACCTTTGAATGAATAAGTGTGCCTTGCATATGCTTGGAGTAAGGGGAAAGCAGGTACTGGAACCATCTTCTTTCTGGACTAGTTGCTCAAAATAAGTTGCAGAGTCAATTTTGTCTTGTGCCCTAATTTGTGGGTTCAGCTAGAACATCCACTGACACCACTGCCTCCAATGGCTGGCACCTGTGTTAAGAGTATTACCAAGTTGTGTACTTGCCATGGGAAAGCATCTAATGCAGCTCTTTTTTGCTTTCCCCAAGAGCCTTCAACACTTCTTCTCTCAAGCAGAAGTACTCTCTACTTTTCTCCAGCATGCCTCTGTGTGCAAAAGCTGAATTTTAAAGCATGCCAGTTTCAGCCATCATAAGATTGTCACACATTTTTGTGACTTGAGTGTCTGGTCTAATTATTTTTTAGACCAAGGCACAAACATTCTGATAAGCAAACTCTTGTGTTTAGTGTCAATGTCAGAAAAAAGGGAAAATAATTAGGCAGAAGTAGCTAACTCTTCCTTCTTTTTCAAAGGCCTCTTCCTTTTCTTCAACTGATGTTCTTCTTTTCTACAGATGAAAAAAGCCTTTCTTCCTTTATCACTGGCAGCTCTGCACACCTGGAGGTTTGACTGGGAACATGTTCTGAAATGAGAGGCTTTGAATGGGTATTACTCCATGGAAAGCTGTTACCCATAGCTGTTACTGCCGTGCTCAGAGATTAAATTAAATAGTTCAGTGTAACTATTAACCACTTCAATTATTTTCATAATTCCAACTCCAAGGCAGCTTTGTAATTTCAGCAGTTTTAATCGTATCACATGGCCATGACTTTCAAGGCATTGTCCAAGGGAGAGAAACAACTTACTTGGAGAAAGCTTATGAGGCTGGAAGACAGAAGCATTCCTGGTGACAAGCTCTCTTGGTTGTTTTGCAGCCCCTGCTTGGCTGCCTGTTTGGAAGCAGACTCCATGCCTTGAACTAGGTTGTTTAGGAAAGGACAGGATTTCTTTCATGTATGAAAATCTGATGAAGAACCGTAGAGGTGTAAAAGGCCCAACTAGCCAGATCTTTGCTTGTTCTTACATCAGCCAGTCCCCAAAATGCCTCATCTTGAGAACACAGAAATCATCTCATTGAAACCTGTGATTTAAATCCCTTCCAGAACTGGGCATCTGGCCCAGCCACCTCCATCCTAAACTCTCTTACAAGAGAGATAAAGAGAGATAATCCAGAGAGGGCTGGGAGATTATTGGTGCAACAGACACTCTCTGTTCTCTACCTGGATATGAGGCCAGTGTTGATTTAACCCTATGCACTAGTGCAAAGGTTAGAGAAAACCCCAACCTTGCACTGCTTTGTGTTGTTAATGAAATGCTAGAAGACAACGGAAAACAACTCAAAAGGCTACAGTAGACAGAGAAAGATTAATCCCATGTGAACACTTTAGTCTGATTCATCCATCAGTCTTGCTGTGTGCAAAGTGAGCCCTAATGATGCATCAGTCATTGGCCTTGGTGCATGGTTGTTTTTCTTCTTTCACTTATAAATCTCTCTCATTTCCTGTGTTTCAGAGGTTTTAGTTGCTAGGCTTGCAGCATGTTAGAGAAACACCAAGAATAATACTTGGGCCAGCAAGAAAAGACAGCTTAAAACAATTTTCCTGTTTTGGTAGCACCTTAAACCTAAAATTTCACAGCCCTCATTATTAGGATCTTACAGGATAGATTTATTTTTTCGATCAACCAATGTGCATCACTTGATCTGCAAAGACATTTTAGAGAGATTGTTAGAGGTTAACAGGCTATGTTCAGAAGTAGATGTAGTCACATAAAAACTGGTAGAAGTTACATTGACGCTAACAGATTCAGTGTGTGTCTATTGCAAAGCTCTATGAGGTCTAGGTAGGGACCTCTGCTGATAAAATTTCTCCAGTATGAGCTTGTTTGTCCTAACATTCACCTTATGCCTTCTGATGGCAAATTCAGCTCTGCACAAAATTATTTCCAGGTGATAATTTTGATCAGAGAACTGACTGTAGGGGAAGTACATGTTCAAAATGCAGTGGGGTCAGCCTGCCTTCCTTGTAAGGCCCTACAGAATGGTGGGGCATCTGCTGAGAACAATCTTGATTTAATCTTGATTTAATCATCCCAGGAATATGCAGAAGTCTGCTGTTTCATGAGGCAGATGGAAAGACAAAACTGCAAATTAAATGTGAAACTGAGTGCTGAGTCTCACTGTAAATATTTTCTATTCTGAATTTATGGTAAATGAGGAGCAGTGGAATAAGAAAATTATGCCATTCTAGGCAGATGCACATTACAGACTTTTCAATAGAGGTACTTCTGTGATGCCCAGTGGGCATCTGTTGGATACAAAGTGCTTGGTTAGATTTTAACACACCTTCTCCGTTCATCTCCAGGCTTCCACCCTTGCTGAAGGCTGATCTTTTTAGAAATGTATTTTAAATAATCCTGCAAGACCTTGCTCTTAAAAACCTCTTTTGTGAGTAGTAGGGCCTTTTATAAGGAGAGAGAGGTAATGAACTGCAGTGTCTTACAGGCGAGATTTTGAAACCAGGACAGTATTTAACTGCTATAGCAATGGAAATTGAATATCTAGATACTTTTGGAAATACCTCAAGATGCTTAACTGTGTCTGTAGATGCTTTAATAAATTTGTTTCAAGTGGTTTGCATAAGGTGCACTTTGTCACTGCTAGGGAGTTGAAAATGGAAACTTTCTTTCTACTGCTGTAGCCATTAATCATTTTTGCTTTCTTTATGACAAAGTGATGGGAAACTGTAGCAGTTTGTAGAATCCAATGGAATAGGGAAGAAATAGCAATGAGTTATTAAACTAAAATTCAGCTTTTTTTGAGTGGCAGACTTATTCTGCAAGCTCATGTTTATAACTGTAATGGATTAAGGTTTGTAACTGTAATGGATGAAGGTTTGTAAAGATTGCATAATCACCACATGGTTTTGGTGGTTTGCTGGTTTGGGCTGAAGTGGAGTTAACTTTCTTCACAGTGGCTAGTATGGGGCTATGTTTAGGGTTTGTGCTGAACACAGGGTTGATAATATAGAGATGTTTTTGTTATTGCTGAGCAGAGCTTATATGGAGGCAAGGCCTTTGGTGCTTTCTGTACTGCCACACTGGCAAGGAAGCTGGGGGTGCATGGGAGATTGGGAGGAGACACAGCTGGGACAGGTGACCCAAACTGACCAAAGGGATATTCCATACCATATGACATCATGCTCAGTATGTAAAGTGGGAGGAAGAAGGAGGATGAGGGGACATTTGGAGTGATGGTATTTGTCTTCCCAGGAACTGTTATGCATGATGGGTCCTGCTCTCCTGGAGATGACTGAACACCTCCTGCCCATGGGAAACAGTGATTTCATTCCTTGTTTTGCTTTGCTTGTGTGTGCAGGTTTTGCTTTCTCTATTAAACTGTCTTTATCTCAACCCATGAGTTTTTCTAGCTTGTATCCTTCTGATTTTCTGCCCCATCCCATTGGTGGGGGAGTGTGTGAGCAGCTGTGTGGTCTTTGGTGACTGGCTGGGGTTAAACCACAACAGGTTAATGAAAATTATTTGCTAAATCCTTTCTACAGTGTTGTTGGGCTTCTGTGAAAGATTAGGCAGCAGGTCTTTGAGAGAATTTGATCTTCTCAATGCATTTTGATAGGAAAAATCACATGCTGTTACTTCTCTTTCCTAGTTGATCGTAGTTCTTGTGGCAAACTGATCTGGTAGCTGATTTGAGTATTTAATGTTTCCAAGTTTGAATTCATTATTCTTTATAACATCTCATTTACTTACAATCACAGGGGGTGAGTATGAATGCCAGGTGAAATAAATTTTTGGGTGTTTACAAAATAAAATGATACAATCTCTACAAGTAGCTTTTATGAAATCTTTATACCCTGGTTTACATTATTGCTGCATATTCTCATTTTATTGTTTTTCTCATCGAATGCATTTGTTTCCATTCACCAGGATGCTGAGAAATTGGCTGGTGAAGAGCATGCCTGGAAAGAAGTCAAAGATGCTGTAAATGAAGTGAAATATCCAAAATCAAAAGAAGGTATCCTTTCAGTGACAGGCTGTAGTCTGTCATTTGGTTGTGAAAGCAATCTGGAGAATCCCTCAGTATTAAGTCCATCTCTTTTTTATGTCCTTACATTTACATTCTTCTGGTTGTGAAAGCAATCTGGAGAATCCCTTAGTATTAAGTTCATCTCTTTTTTATTTCCTTACATTTACATTCTTCTTTTTTAAAAAATACTTTAAATTCATTTGATGTTTAAAATGTGTAATATTCCTTATTATATCGATAGTAATAGAGTTTCTGATTATTTGGACTGGAACTTCATTATGGCAGGGATAGTTGCTACCCAGGATGTGAAGGGCTATTTTGGCTCAGGTTTAGATTTCTGTCATCACAGCCCACCACTTCATATAAATTGATTTCTAAATGAAATAAAGCTTAATCTGAACCATTGTTAAATTCTTTGTTCCATTACTCTCAGCATGAACACTTAGAGGTTCTCATTCTTTGCACAGCAATGACAATAACAAGGAAATAATCACAGTCAGGTTCACAGCAGACATTACAGAATCATTATAATAAGTTATAATAATATATAATAATGGTAATTAAGCAAATTGAATGAGATGATCTTGCACTAATAAACAGAACTGGAGCCTAATGACTGTCATGTAGATATTCAATCCAATTAAAAAAATTAGTGAACAGCAACAACCAAGAAAAGATGAGCAGAAGAGAGGTGGAGGTTTTTGCAAGACTACTGTGAGTATAGTGCTCTCTCCCTTATCTTGGTCCATTCAGTGGAATTTTGCTGACTGTGAATTTGGCCTATTGTGGCAAGATGCCTTACCATTTTCAGAAACATGGACATTCTCTTGAGGTAGAGACAAGTAAATCTTCTAGCACTCCTTTTTGGCAGTATGGAAAACAAGTTTGCACAGTGATATTCCAGGCTGGAAACAAGTGATCACAATTTTTATTGTAATGACAAAACCCCCACTCAACTGAGTTTGTTTCTTTCTAATCCAGAGCAATTCGTTAGCAAAAAGGAAACACCGTATCTTACTTTATTTTTCATATACCTTCTAGTCTAAGTTCCTCTGTAGTCACTGGATTGAGATAAACAATACTGATATAGATCTTCAGGCATTCAGTTTTACTTCAGGGCTCATGCTTTAACCTGAAAGTTAAATTATAGATATGCAACCTGAAGTTGCAATACTTTTTATACTGTAACTATGAAGTCAGAATACTGATCCTATTCAATGTTCCTATATTTAATTTCTGGAATAATTGCACCTAAGGAATTTTGCTAGGGTCTTTAATTAAGATTACTGATTTAACTGATATTTAAAAATTAATCAAACACATCATAATAAAAGGTATCAGGACTGGTTGAAAAAAATACATCCTTGTTGTCTGTTCGGCTTCTGTTCTCAGTCATGGACTGTTTGAAATGTGTCACCTTTCCTTCCCCTGCACCACAATAGCAGTGCTAATTGACATGCAGTGGCAAGTGCAGTACCTGAAGAAGGAACTTGACTTTTGTCCACTTGCCAATAATGAGTAGAAAACCTTCCTGGCTGACTCAGGCATATGATTATTAGTTTCTGCAAATGTCACCTTTTTTAGGCAAATTAAGTCAACAGTTTCTATAGTTGAAAAAAAAATAAATCTGACCTACTGATTATAATCAACAGTTTCTATAGTTGAAAAAAAAAATCTGACCTACTGATTATAGCTGCTACAGTGTTGTAATGCTAAATCTACAGTTGGAGCTGCTTGAGGACTGTTGCTCTAGTCTCAGGCAGATACAGGACATTCAGCTTCTCTTTTGTGCTATTGCAGCTGGTAACGTGTTTTCTAGTTTGCAATTTACATACCTACAAATTTGGTCCCTACAGGTTTTGTTATATAGCACATCTGCTGTTATGTGCTAGTGAGTGAACAAAGCAGAATAATGAGAAGTAGATTCAGACAGACTATGCATCAGCTAAAATGGTAATCTTTCAAGAATGTCAGTGCTTTGTACTTTCTACAAAAATTGTATCAAGTGGAAATAATATCCCTCATTCTTCTGTTTGTCTGTCCTTAATCAGTTGTAAAGAACACATGGACGTTTGCCAGAGATATAAAGGTTAAGGTGCAATTTTATAATAACACATTCCTTCCCTTATATGGTTCTTTCAATCCAGGGCCATGAGAGCAATTCACAAATAATTAGTTTAGCCTTGTAACAACCATGCTATAAATCCTGGCCCAGCCACATAGTGGTCACATTCTTAAATATAAGTGTGTAAATATTCCCATGTTCAAGAGGGATTAATTACTTCATCACAGGTTTATCATTGTACACTTTGAATTCATTGACAGATTAGTGTGAATAAGACTTTCAGTAATGTTGTGAAGATAACTGCTGGACTGCCTTGAGCAGAATGTATGGAAAGGGCTATGATACAATCACTGTTATTACTTCTCATACTATAAGTCTAACTTCTAGTTTATTTCATTTGTTCTTACTGATGTGTATGGTATCTTTTTGGTGTTTAGACTGCTTGCATTCTAGGACTCCCACAAAGTACAGTCACAGGTGGCAATACTCATTTAAAATCTGAAAGTATTGGTGTTCAGCCTGGGTATGGTCAGGGAGAGAAGTATCTGGTCCACAAAGAAGTAATAAAAATAAGTGGTTGTGGTAAGGAATATCCAAATAAAGGGACTGCAAGTCCCAGGTTACTTCTCCTCTATTCCAAGCACACAAATAATCTTGAGTATTGGACATGAAAATCTTCTTTACTGCTGAGATTGTTAGTCCTGAACTACAGTCAGACATCAAAACTATAATGCTTTTCTTTCTCATGCATGAAACATGCAGCTGTACATGAAAAACAAAAAAACCCAACAATGTTCTTTAAGACTGTTTCAAGGAGAGTGAAAATTAATTAATTTCAAGAAAAGGTTCTAATTGCATTAGAATTTTAAACAGAATTTTGAACAGCTTAAAAATGTGTCATTTTTTAATATCTATTAGAGCTGTCTTTTTTTAGCTGCTGAGACATTTTGTTAAGACACATTTCCACGGGCTCTTGCCGTTGGCTGTAAGATTTGGAGTTTATTAAGTAAATAATCATGTTTCAGCAGCTAAATAAAAAGTGTTTGAATTTTTGTTAGATATTAAAATATCCTTGAAATTTGTCATCTTTCCTTTACCCTTTATTATTAAAATGCTGCCTTCTTTAGAAATTGTTTTGCTAGATGTAAACAAAGCACAGTTACCTAAGCTACCACTCCTGGATTCAAGTATGCTTTCAAGAATTGAAGCAAAGTCTGGAATGATGGCAGCCTTTCTATCTTAATACCCTGTAGCTCTTACTCCTTGCTAGAAACATTTAGAACTTGTGGTTTTGTTTGATTAAATATATTTCTTTAACTAAGGCCAATAACAGAGTGGGAGCAGGTTCTGGCAAGATGCCAGAATCTCTTGAGCAGCAACACGGGTCACCTACCAGACACAAATATCTATCAGCTGAAAATGCTTGACTGTGCCATGGATGCCTGTATTAACCTTGAATCCTGGGAAGAAGCATTGTATTATGGCAGCAGGACTCTGGAACCATATAGGTAAGAGATGTAATTGGTTCAAGTATTTCCAAAGATGGGGTAGAGCTGGCTGTCTCATTAAAAGGAAAGATTGTGCTTCATCTCTATGCTTCACACTCTTGTTATTTCTTGCTGTACGTCAGGCAGAACTCTCATTCTGCTTCCACAGTCAGGCTGAGAGCAAATAAAATTATTACAGGAACTATAAAAATAACTGGTTCTTAGCTCCTTGCTGTTGGATGTGTTCAGATGCTGGCCCAGCCCTGAGCAGAAGCTGACTTTCTTGTTCAGGCTACATTGCCATGAGGGTATTGGTGTTTTATGCTGAGAAGGGTCAAACTTGAGGCACAGGTAGCTGGTTGAAATAATGTATATTCTCTATTTACTCTATACATAGAATTTATGGAAAGAATAAAAAAAAAAAAGCCACCTTGCAAAATGCAGCTTCAGATGGAAATGAAAAGGCCCCTATCTCTTACTTAGGGAAAGTACTAGGGTGAAAAAGCACTTGCTTTTCTTCTCTCCTGGTCAGTAAATGTTCCTATGCTGTATGTTGGGGGAGTTTCTGAGGCTGATGGTTGTTTGTCGATAAGGAAGAATAAGGAGATCATACATCATGTGGTAGGTCTTGAAACTGTGTGGGGCCTGGAGCTGTAATGTGATTTTGGTTATCTAGTAGAGAAAGGGCAGGTGCTCTCTGCTTTGATTTGTGGTCTAAAAGCTCTGAGACTTAAATCTTTGGGTTCTGGATATTTGCATTGTTTTTAACTAAATATAAGCCTATGTTGAATGTGCAGACATAATATCGTTCATGCATGAATATTCATTCTTTGTAAGGTATTTTTTAGAGCATCCATTTCTTCTCTGTTGGTACACCATGTGATGTTTCACTACAAAGTGTGATGTTGAGAAGTATGAGGGGCATGCTAGTGCTAAACAATATGTTCTGCTGTGAACATGCACATTTCAGATTTTACATGTTTTCCCTAATCAAATGGGGATGCCATCAGCATTCAGCATTTTGCCTGAGGAAATTTCATGTGGCAGCCTGTTTCTGAATAAAACTCTGGGCTTCACTTGGGAAACAATATAGTGTTTCAGAGCTTTCACTAAAAAGTAATTATCGAGAAAACCAGCATAGGCTGTGGTACATCACAGCTGTAGAGTAGCTCTGTATTAATAATGATTGTTCTTTTTCGTAGAGGAGGACTTGAGTGCCTACACATTTTCACATTTCTGTAGAGTAGCTCTGTATTAATAATGACTGTTCTTTTTCGTAGAGGAGGACATGAGTGCCTACACATTTTCACATTCCTTCAGGGTGAAATTCACATCATGCATGTCCCACTTAACCTTTCAAACAGGACTTGTGTAGTACTGAAGCAGTGCATGCTTCCTTGCAGCCTCCTACCATACCATGTAGCACACTCCAGATGAACAGAGTAGTCTGCCTGTTTAAATGTTCCCTTGTTAAATAAATTAAATAAATTTTTTTTCATTTTTCACAACTGAAAACTGAGATTCTTTTTCTGCATACATTTCCAAGAGTAGAGATTACAGTGAGACCGAGTGCAATTTTACCAGTTAATTTAATAAAGCTTCCTCTGTTTTGCTTGCTGAAGTGTACCATAGTTTTCAAGCTGTTTAATGCAGCAGTTTAGAGATGAAAGAAAAGGTTCAACTGTGCGTCCAATTAGTATCTCTTAAGGAATGTTATTTACAGGAGATATTTGACCTTTTTTGCACCTTGAAGAGCTTGTCCTTGTTCTCTCATCATACAAAAGCATTATTTAAGAGAGATTTTCAGTTGTTGCTTTTTCTTTATGCCTTCAAGTCATCACTACAAGGTTTGACACACCTGAAACAAAATCCTCGGTTTCTCATTACAACAAATTGTGCCATAAGCAGCAGGAGAGCAAATCCTAGGAAATCTTTTGGGATACATTGAATTTCTCCTGTTGAATCAATCTACTGCTTGGCTGCTCCTGCAGTTCCATTATAGCTACCTATTTTCCTTTCCTCAGCTCTGGAAAAAGTATTCATACAACTCTCCACAGGGAATCACCTGAGAATTCACACAGTCTATATAAATAGGAAATCATTGTTACAAGTTTAAAGGCTCTGGGGATTTGGTCAAAACCAGTTTTAATTTCAGGTAATGTGTTTATTGTGCATTTTCCATTTCTTTAGCAGCAGGATTAATTTTCAGTGCTGCGTGATGCATTGTATCATAATGTATATTTTTGTGGTGATGGTTGCTGACCTTCAGAATCATCCACTTCACATAACTGGCAGAGATAGACAGCCAAACTACATAACACTGATTTGTCATACTGAATGCCAGACTCTATGTTTTAGGTAGCAACAATAACCTATGAGGAGCATTGTTTAGGACTTCTGAACTTCCAAAAGAAGGGGAGAGGTAGTGTCTGCCAAGATGAAAAGCTGTCTTCTCCTTTTGTGCCAAACCATAGCTGTCCATTATTTGTTAAAACCTACAAGTACTTTCACTGAATAGCCTAAGCCAAGTGTATCTACATGGCTTTACTTGTAAATGTCACAGTAATAGCCTGTCTGTCCAAGAGACTTAACAAAAGTTAAGACATTTGCCTAAGTGAAAGCTGCCCCACATCATAGTCAGCACTCAGCAGCTTGCAAAAATAAACTTCCTTTCAAAAATTCTCATGAGCCTTAACCACAGAATAACAGAATATCAGCAAGAGGTGTTACATGGGTTTGTCATGTCTCAGTTAGCACATTCACACTCTGGGCTGACTGCTGCTCATGAAGGATCAGATTCAGAGATACTGAAAAAGACAGATTTCCCTTAGGTTACCTCAGAGGAAGGACCCTGGCATTTAGCCCTTAAATTAATGAGAAGGCACATATGTTCTGGGGATTAGGTTTGGTTATTTTTTTCCCCTTGTCTCAAGTATTCAGTGCTTTACATTGCAGCCAGAGAGTGGAAGTATGTGGTTTTTTATAAAACTATACTAGATGTCCCCAGCTATTGTGACAAAAGTAACAGGAGCAAAAGAAGTAACTATGACTAGATGTCCCCAGCTATTGTGACAAACGTAATAGGAGCAAAAGAAGTAACTATATGATACCATGGCCCTACTGGATATACCTACGGGGTAAAGCCATGTCACCTCTTTGGGCTCCTGTGGCATCAGATCTGGTGAGATTCAGATATAGAGAGGACAAACATGTTCATCTCTTTCTGGTGCTCATCATCTTCTGCTGAACTTCAGTCCCAGTGATTTTCTGATGGTTTGTTTTAATTAACAGCCTTTCATGCCAGTGCTTCAGCATTAATGAGACGAAATTCCTTCTTTTCATCTTGTACAGAAATGTTGTGTAGAATTGCTGTTCTAGCTCTTCCCCCAGCAGTCTTACATGTCCTTCCTGCTCTGTCCTTCCTCTGTTGAGTCAGCACCAATATAGGGCTTGTGCTAATGTGGCTGTTCTGCTTCTGGAGCAAGGGGGAGCTGGGTGGGTACAAGCGTCCCATATTTGTGTTACCTGTGCATCATTTGTCTGCTCTTCCACCTCCTCCTGTTCTCTATCCCTTCCAGTGACATTTTACAGTATCCCATTACTTCACCTTTCCTCAATGACTGAGGTCTTTTAGGGAACAGGGAAAGCAATCCTAGTGAGCACAGTTTCAGATTGTTTTGCAAAGGGCTGGGTTTAAGAACAGTGGCTGTGATGTGTTTCTTGTTGAGTATTTTCTGAGACCATGGTTGAATTTTCATTCAGTGAATGAAATACCAGCCAGAATTTTTTGATTTAGAATTCTAATTCAATATATATGATGGACTGTAGTTTCTAAGTATATGAACTTCAGTCAAAAGGCAGATTAAAAATTGATGGTTGCTATAGTATCCTTTCCATGAGTCATGATCTTATTAAAAAAAAAGCGCCAAAAATAGCTGTTGAACCTGATATTCTTGGAAGATACTCAGAACCTATTTTCTCATCTTCAAAAAGGCTCTCTAATGTAGAGTTCGATTTTCTTTTGGTCTGATTTTGCCCCCATTTAATCCCATTTAAATAGGATGTGTTTTGCCCCCAAAATATCCTACTTTTACAGCTATGTGTTTTGCAATACACACGATCACTGCAATGACTGGAAATAAATTTTTTTCATCAAATATAGATGGTTCTTTACTGAATTCAGCAGACTCCTGAGTACTGGCTAGTTCTAAGGCACTCGAATTGAATTTACATTTTCTCTGAAAGTGCTTACTGAAGTCTCAAAAAGTGCTCTGCAGTGATTACTAGGTCCACTGGGGGATGCTAGTGCTTAAGGGTTCCAGCCCGAATTCGACGCCAGTCGGCACCCTGGTTGTGGTAGGTCCCCTGGGAACTCGTGCGTGGCTGGCAGATTTCTGTTCCTACAGACACCACTAATTCAGTGACCAAAGTTCAATGTCTTAATCATAAACCATCAGTTGTAAACATAAATCTTACCTGCAGGATCAGCTGAGAGGGAGAGAAAAATGTGAAGGTGGAGAAAGCGATTAAAAGAAAGAATGAAGCAAAGAACAAAGAGAATAAGCCCTACCTTGTTCACTTTGCTGAGGTTTTAGAAAATGCCCTGGGTATTTATTTCTGTTTAGAACACAATGTGTCAAAAGAAGAAGAAAATGCAGTATAATATCGAGAGTATATTGTCTCTGGTTAATTGTAGGTAATTCTTCCAGAAGACAGATGTTTGTAGCACTATTTGCACCGTTTCTGGCTTCTGTGTACCTATTTTATAGATAAACTGGGAGAATGCTTGTCCCTGGACTGATATCTTTAGGAATCCCTTAAAACACTTCAGCAGCCCACTTCTGTCTTCCATTCCTTCCTACTTCCTCCCCTGCAATCCCAACAGCCTTTGCAAAAAAAAAAGAAATATAAATGTTTTATGTCTGAAGTGTGGTGCCTAAGTTATCTATGTTCTGATCAATCCATTTCCCACATAGGAAATGGATTTTCTGGTTTACTGTTTGCTTGCTGTGTACCTACGT